GAAGCTACCCCAAACGAAACCTTAATTTATTTATTCTCCCCATTTGGTCTTCTTTGGGTTTGGAAATGGTTTGAGCCTTATCTGACTTTGATAGTTTCCTGAAACAGTGTAGTGTTTCTTTGAGGAGTTAGCCAATAATTGTTAATGACTTGGACTTCTGATTTGCCAATGCCACACTCAAAAATTAGAAATCAGAGTCCAAAGATAGAAGAAATAAGAGGAAAACTTGCAGGGAAATTCTATCTTGGCCCCCCTGCGAGCCATTGAAGTTTTATTTATAAAAGTTTCAAACCAATTACAATGCAGTTACACACTAACTATTCAATTACAAGCAATCTATCTACTAATCATAACAATTGCCTACACTACTATAGAAAACTTAGATTAAAATATCATCATACAAATTGTATCAGGACGGGTTTAAATACTGTTAAAGTTATCTTGAAATTAGTGTTATGCAAATTCTTCAAATATAACTCATCCTGATACCATTTATATTAAGATATTCTTACAAAATATTTTTCTACAGTAATTGCTTAAAAATTGCTTGTCGTTTATTCCAGCTGTAGCTATTTTTCCTCCACTGTTTCCATTAAATATTAATCTTTCAACACCTCAAACAGAAAAATTATCTAGGTGCTGCAGGTGTTATTCCTTCTACTGCCACTCTTATTCTGATTGCTCGCAGCTCTCATAATAGAGTCCTTCGTCCCCACCATTCTACAGCTCAGAAAATCTCTCAAAACTAATGGCGCCCAGCTGTGAGCTTTATTATCACCACGTTCCTTACTTTTAACTTCAGTAACCTTCCTCCCATTCTCCACAGGAACAATTTCTTCACAACAGACTTTCTCTACTGTCTTCATCTCCTCCTTCCAAGAATCTATCTTGAAAACTGCAGTTTTCCTTTGGGCTTCTTCTGAGCTTGAATTCGATGTTTCTTTTGGCGATTGTTCCTCTAATTTTGTAGGAAGCTTTGAAGAAGTAGTTTTTTCTCTCTGCAATGCTTCACCTGACATTCTTAATGTCGCAGGAGAAGCCAAAAACTTTGCTTCTTCCTTCAATTTCTCAAAGATTTTGATGGGGGAGAGGAGAGATCCCTTTAATACAAACTCGCAGTAGGAGGTGGGGATGATGAGGTCATCATCGGTGAGGTCCTGCCATATATAGCCGGTTCTGTACTTCCTATAATAGCAATATTATCAATGAAATTTGCATGCCTTTATAATATAATCTCATATATAATAATCAAAATTTCCATTTTAATATAGTATTAAATATATGTTATCTAAGCTTATATATGTTAATAATATAGTATTAACTGCCAAATATCAATTAACTAAATTACCTATCTTTTAATATCATTGATGAAAGTCTTATCTTAAGATGTCATTAATTCAAATAATTTGTTATCTAATTCATAATACAATGTTTCATAGTAGTGGAAGACATTGAAGGTTTCATTTGGAATAACTTTTTTACTGCTTCTTAAAACAGCTTTTAAGTACAATAATTTTAACTTTTGTACTAAAAAGTTGTTTCAGAAGCAGGAAGAAAGCTGTCTCAAACGAAGTGTAAGTTAACTCGTAAAGTAGAAGAAACTTGCATTAAGATGTTAAGCAATTAATGAGCAAACCTCTTGTATGACCAAGCAAAGGATTCCGATATTTCTTTTCCCCTGAGCTCAGATAGCCATCTCTTAAAATCTAAAAATGTTATCAATTTTATATAAACAATGTAATAAATTTATTGAACAGAATAATCAATTAAGTGAGTGTAGAGAGAGAGAGAGTGAGAGAGAGAGAGGGAGAGAGAGAGACGATGTAGTTGATGATAAAGATGATGAGCTTGTGCACCTCGAAGATGAACACCATTGTTGTTAAGGTGGTGAACTGTGATGAGGTGAGGCTGCTCGATCTTCCCTTTCCTGCTTAGGAAGTAAATTATGTGAAGCCTCCTCATCAATACCTCATCTCCTCCCTTCCTTTCTGTGCTTGCTTCCATCTCGATCTTCACAAGACTTTGTTTCTAAAAAATCTTTTAATTTGCCTCCTAATAGATTGCTCCAAGCTATCTGTATTTCTATCCATATAAATAGATGGAGAAAGAAGAAAGAGAGAGAGTGAGAGAGAGAGAGAGAAGGGGGATTTATTAACTAATTATTCTCTAGGGAGTTCGATATTTACTCTTCTCATGCGAGTAATTAGCAAGCTTTCTACCTTATCTTGAATTGTTTATGAGATTCTTTTATTAATTAATCATGTCATAGAATATGAATATATTGGAGAATTAATATAGATCAATCTCATAAAAAGGAGGTGATTATGTATAACCCTTGCAAGAAAATAGAAGATTGAGGTAACAGCTAGCAAAGGGTGGATGCAATTTATTTGCTTGCTAGTTGATTTGTCTCAAGATTATTCCATTAAATTTTTTTGCTTAGGAACAATTTTAAATGTATTAATAAATTGATAGAAATCAATATTTAGGGTGAATATCTTCTATAATTAATATTCTCATGTGATTAAGCGAGCTCTTGATGCATGTTATTTGATGATACTTCGATCTATTTGAGTGGAATAAGGACTGATGTAAGGAACTCTCATGTAAAAAATATTAGAAATATAATTTTTAAGATGTGTGTGGAATTTTAGATTCAGATTTAATTTGGGACAGTTTTTTTATTACTTTTTAAAATTGTTTTCTAGCACAAAATTTTTAATTTTTGTAATAAAAAGCTGCTTTAAGATGCAGTAAAAAAATAGTCTCAAACCAAGCCTTAAGCTTCATTTGGGACGACTTTCTTACTATTAAAGTAGCTTTCTAGTACAAAAGTTTTAATTTTTTTACTAAAAAACTGCTTTATGAATCAATAAAAAAGTCCTCACAAACAAAGCCTTAGTCTCCTATCAAATAAATAAAAAATATATTTATGCAGCAATACTAAGTTGCTGACATTAAAAAATAAATTTATTTTTATGTTACAAAATAGATTTAATAATTAAGTGATACTATCGTCATGTATCCAGCCTAATTTTGATCTCCCTTAGTCATTCCCTAACCATTATAATTGGTTAAATAATCATTATTTACATCAGATGATTAAGCTTACATCAAATATTCATCTTTTATATTTGATATAAAATTAATAAAATAAAAATATTTGAATAATAATAAATGTTATTTTTTTGGTGAATTAATATTTTATAGGACATGCACCTTAAAATTTTGGATATCTTTTATAAATTAAGGTTTCGTTTGAGACGGCTTTCTTATTGTTTCTTAAAATACCTTTCTAGTACAAAATTTTTAATTTTTGTATTAGAAATTTGTTTTAAGAAGTAGTAAGAAAGATGTCCCAATACTTCATTTAGGACAGCTTTCTTACTATTTTGTAAAGTTACTATAGAGAAAATAACTTCTTAAAACTGTCATAGAAAGCATCTTCCTAGTACAAAATTTTTTTTAAAGCAACGAATAATCAATCGCCAAATAAAATACATGATCGAAGTGTGAAAAGCAAAGGAATAAGAAAGTTTTCCCAAATGAAGTCTAAGTGATGTTCACAAAATCACTTAATTGTGTTGATCGATAAGATTAAACATAAAATTAATTCCTAACTAGTAAAGAATATAATTATTTTAATAGAAGATTAGATCCCTAACTGTTTGCATAAAAATTATAATGAAAATTAATTCTCAAACTACTTTAATCGACACTCAATAAGGCTTACACTACATGAAATCGGTATTTCAATAAAATATATTTGAGAATTGTTACTCAATAAAGCTTACACTACATGAAAATTATAATAAATTTGTGATATTTGAGATAAGAGTAAGAAGGCCTTAGCCATTTGAATAATGGCTAGGGTTAACATCACCGATGAATGCTTGAAATTTAAATAATTAATTGAATCATAGTAATCGGCATCGTGTATGTGCATACTTACATGCCTTCCTTCGATTCCCATCATACAAAATAAGAATGTTGATGCTTGATTTAATTATAAAAAAAATTTACCAGCCTATAACTTAACAGCTCTACAAATATATATAGATCAAAATTAATCGAATCATATTTGAACAAATTCAAATATTGCTCGAAAATGATCGAATAATGATCAAATTATGATCAAATTATAATCAAATATGCTCAACATATAATTGAAATACATTTGAAAATATGATTTAAACATAACCATCGAACGACGTTCAAAATTTATTTGAATAAAGTTTGAATAACATAGTATTTGGCAAATTGAACTATATTTGATCATGATTCAAATAAGATCCATACATAGTTCTTGCAATGAATGATGAGGAGTACGAATCGAGATTTGACGATGGAGATGGGATAAAAATGATACCCAAAAGATGATAAAGTTCAATGAGAGAAACAACTGGGATAAACCAAACATATAATCACAAGAAATGAAAAAATAAATATGTAATATAATGATTTTTTTTTAAGAAACACTTTTATTCCATAAAAATGGAAGATACAACGAAGACCAACTTGGAAGATCCAAAAATTACAAATCTAAAATCAGCCAATTAAGGTAAATATCAGCCGATCTCAGGAAATAGCATGGACTTCTGACCAACCATTCGGTGGGCAGGCGCCAAGCACAAACCAAGCATCACCCCACTGTTCAAACAAACGCCACCAATCATAACGAGAGAAGGAGCCACCAAGGTTTCCAACAAGCCAAGTACATTCAGTGGTTGGGCAGAAAGCCGCCTCATCATTGACCAGACTAGACAATTAATGGTCACAACTAAGTAACATAGCATCCAGCCTAGCCAAAAAAACCAATTACTTTTTTTTTTTATTTAAACCTACAACATTTGCCACCACCATGACATTGGACTTTTTGAGCATAACGACTTACATTCAAGATATACTCATGAAAATCATTCTTCGGCTCATCCATATCATCTCCAACATCCCTGTAAGGAGAAGAGCAAAACACATCCAACTAATCGAAAAGATCCATATGACTAATTGTGAATTTGGAAGCCAATTGATTTTTCAACTCCTCAGAAGAAATAAGTGCAATTGAAACATCCACAGACGACATATTCACAATTGGGCTCAAAGTAACAGTCGAAAAAACATTAGAAACCAACAAAATGGGAGCCTCAAGACTATGCAATTCAGCATTACAATCCACTGGAGTACCAACAATAGCTAGATGATGATCATCCAAACCAACGGAAACATCTACATTCTCATTTGTCACACCAGAAACCAAACAATCCACAGGAGTGGAAACATCACATGTCACATGATCTAAAGAATCTGAATTATAGGAGAAGTAATAGAATTAGTCATACAAATACCAATTCCCACTACTGCCAACACATTCTCATTATTAGCACAAGAAATAGTCATAGGCATAACAACAAAAGACGACAGAACATCCTCCTTGGCATGACCAACAACAAACCCATCAACCTCCACCCCAATATCAATTACCCCATCATAACCCCTATTAATAGATGCCTTATTAATAGGCGAAACAATACAATTTTCAATAACATTTCCCAAAATATCTAATATAATGATAAGTAATTGTAGCGCGTTTAGTGTTGCTTCTAGAATAGGGGAGAGAGGCTTTGGCTGATATAAGATTCCCACAACCATTAGTAGAATGATGATCGAGGACTAGAAGAGCCTAACCTCCAAAGAAGACTCACATAGTTCTTGATGGTATAAAGAGGCTTATTTATAACCAAAAATAAATATTAAGACTCCTAATAATATAATAACTTTAATTATAACTATCAATTATATCATTAATCTAAACATATGATCGTATATGGTATGTAAACAAAAATCATTTTTGTCAGGCACTAATCTAAAGGCATATTTGAGCTAAAAACTTTCAAAATTAAAAATGGGACCATCCAAATTCTAAACTCGGCAACCTTAAAGTCAAATTGAAATACTCGACAAAACGAATCTAATGACACCAAAATCGGCCCAATCCAAGTCCAAATGTTGGGGGTAGGGGGTTACATTTTCCAATCATCGCCTTTGACTATCACCACAAGTTATCGCTACCGACAACCATTATTGCCACCAATGGCCATCATAAAAAAAATTAATCACTTTCTCCAGAATACTGACAAGATTTGAACCTATTAAAAGACTAATGGCCAATGGGTAAACTGTTAAAATAGAGAAAGAGGCAGTAATGGCTTTTCATAGTTTTACATAGAGTTGTAGGGCTATTTAATGATTTGTTTTAAAACATTAATTATTTAAATCATAATTAAATATGATTTTATTAAAAAATTTATTTGTTAACTAACTATTCTTTATCTAATAATAATTATTAAATATTAAATTATCACCCATTTATTTATTTATTTTTGCACTGCTAATAATCTAATTAATTAAGGTGAATAGTACTTTTTGCTTTTTCTCACTCTTTTTGCCCAACGGAATGTTGCGGCCGCACACTTATGACTTAGTATGAGAGATTTCCTCTAAAGGATTTAGCTAAAGCTAAAACTGAAAGCCGAAAGGGGCTTAAATCTAATTGTTTTAGTGGCTTAATAGAGCAACAAGTTCGTTAACGAGAAAACCTGCTCTAATTTGTGTAACTCTTCCTTTTAAAGTTATTTATTAATCCATAAAAGTCACCAACATTTTTTTCTGAACACATGAAAAGCATCAATGGTTCGTTTTCCCCTTTACTTCTCTCTCACGACTCATGAGTCACAATCTCGAGCGCTGCTTTAGTTTTCCCTTTCGCTCTCGCTCATCCCCAAACAAAGACCGTCTGTGGCATATGTTTATGCCTTATAAGCTCTAAGGGTCATGTTATTTGCATTCTTAATTTTGATCTTACAGTTCCTCTTAGCTCCGGTAATGAGACGACAAACATAACTATTTTAATTTAGGCCTGTTGCGGGCTAGAATATACGCGTCGATAGAATTGTAATTCTACGTCTTAGCGTTGCACGAATATCCAGCTCACACACTGAGAACAC